GCTGAACCCTGTATACCCCTCTGCCCAAAACAGCCCTAAAAATAAATGAGGTGATCACCCTGGAAAATAATGACAAAGCATAAACAAAAACAAAAGAGGTTAGGGAGGTCGGGGTTAGCAAGAAGAGAGGACAGGGGAGAGAAGTAGGTGGTGGGACAATTCTCCATCAGCTTGGATCTCTCATGCAGTTTCCCCTGTGGCCTCAGTGATTTTTTAAGCCATGCAGCAGGGGGGACAGCAAATGCATTTGCCAGCTTCAAACAATACTTCTGCTTGGTGCCCAAGCATGGCCTCAGTTACTACCATAAGAAGCTTGATAGAAAAAGCCAAAACACAAGAAGACATGGCTGTACTCCCACACACACTCCACAAAAGGGCAAGGGTCCTGTATCAGAAATTTAGTTTACATTAAATGAAGTCTAAAACAGACCTTCAGATTTCATCCTTCACCATTAAGTGTGAAGGGTGCTCCCATATGCCTATCAGCTGTTGCAACCTTAACCAGTAAAATGTCTAAAGGAACCAGTGCAAGATCACTAGCACTTTTATTCTTTTATTTTAGAGAACAGCTGGATACAATATGCCCTAACAGCATTGTGCTATCCAGCCCTCTCCAAACTGCCAGTGATGCAGCTCAAAAAATGACTGCACTAGACTTGCACAGACTATGATCTGGAAAAAAACCAGTTCATCTTCACCTCCAACTTACTTCAAGGAACAAACAAAAAAAAGAAGAAAGAAAACTACAAAGATCCTTACCCTCACTCATCTCACATGAGAAAGAAACCTCCACCTTCTCATCCCACGAAAAAGCCCTCACAGTTCATAAGCAGACTGTGAGGGAAAGGTATCATGAACTTACTTCACTGGTAACATCCTGACCCTTCCAATTGCAATGCTTGCCTGATGTACTCAAGAACACATGAAGAAGTGGGAAGGAGGAGGAAGTCTTGATAACAGGATTTTAGACAGCAGAGTGGTCCTCGAGTTGAGGGACACGGCATGGGGATGAAGCAATAGGTGAAGAGGGGGAGGAACTCCACATGTGAAGGCAGCCCTGCTGTGAGCAGCAAGTTTCGTACTTGCCAGGGTGGGAAGCAGCCAAACGGCTCTGCTGGGAGAAGCAGCAGAGACCCTGCACTGTCTGGGAGGGGAAAATGAGACAAAGAGCACTAAACCACTGACTTTCAAACAGAGCGTGAAGACAGGAAACATATCCTGGACTGGATAGCAACAGGTTGCAGAGGAAAGGGGAAGGGGAAAAGGATATGGATGTTTTTTGTGTCATGAAAAAAAGACAAATCCCCAACCAACCAGCAACCTACATACACACAGAACACAAAGTGTCAGCACACCCGCCTCAAACAGAATTTCATAGTTAAGAAAAGAATGCAGATCTTAAAATTATAAATGCTATGCCACATTTACCTTCTTCCATCATGCACTGTAATTCTTTAATAGTGTACTACTACACTTGAAGTACTTCAAGCTGAAAACCATCCACTTGACTCAAATTAATTTGTCACTAAAACTATTACCTAATTGCAAAGGTTCAGTTTTATTAGGCTGGGTGTATTAACTACATTTATGTGAACAATGATTAAGAAGTAAGACACAGACCATGTCTGTCTGCATTTCATACTGGTACTCTCCAGTTCTTTTATGCTAAGAATTGTATTTGAAATAATAATGTCAATGCAATTGAAGATTTGCATGAGACTGGGGCAAATTTAAGAATGTATTTTGTTGGGCATGCTCTATACTGCTAAATGAACTGAAACTCTATTACTGGCACTAACTGTACCCCAGGTATACTTTATCCTTACTAACACTGTAAAGCATTCTATAAAAATTCTATGCTAATTGAAAAATCATATTGTCAGAGCCACAGTACATGTGCTTCAATGTATTTGTAAGCAACAGTTATTCTCAACTCATATTGTCTGTACCTCAATCAATAATTTAAATATCTTTCTTCTGTATCTTTCAAAAAGACACAAGTTCCACACATGAATGTTGTAAGTTCCAGTGGTACATCACTAAGTAAAATCAAGTCAAGCTTTTTACTTCACATCCATGTCTTAATAGTATGTCTTAATAGATGGAGGTTAATACCAGTGCTTGAAAATACAACCCTAATACAGGCTAGCTAACACAAGCTCTGCAAAGACTAAGACAACATTCAGATGCAGCCCCCAGTAGTCAGACCATGGGAACAGATTTTTGGAAATTTTAAAATCAAATCCTGCAACACACATTTCCCACTGCCACAATCATACACTCCAAAACATATTTCACCATCACAGTTAAAGGTATTATCTTTACAGCTGGGCATCTCTGTAGGAGCAACTCTGGGAAGATAAAACACTGGGAGCAGGAGTAGCAGCATTAGGTACAGTATTTGTAGACTCACATAATTGTTTTGGTTGGAAAAGGCCTTTAAGATCATCAAGTCCAACCACTAACCCAGCACTGCCAAGTCCACAACTAAACCGTGTTCCTAAGCACCGCATCTCCAAGTCTTTTAAATACCTCCAGGGATGGGGACTCCACCACTTCCCTGGGCAGCCTGTTCAGGTGCCTGAAAATACTCTTGGAATATGCTTGAAGATATGCTTGGAAGTAATGCAGCTCAGTACGACCTTGCTGGTCACCAGCCTCCAAGCCCAGGGACTCCTGCTTAAGTCCTGCCTGCCTAAACCAAGTCTAAGCAGACTCCAAGCCATGAACAAGCCACAAGATAAAAGTAAAGGAGGAGAAAATTCACAGGCTGCTGTATACTACTCACACTAAGCTCCAATACCAGTATTAAGCTAAAAAAATAAAGGCAGCGTAGGTGGAGTTTTTTGTTTCCAAGAAGCAGAGAGTGCTGAGCCCTTGCCAGTACATTCCGTTTCCCTTTCTGCCACTCTTGGTTTTTGCAGTGCATCATTTCCTGTATTACTTTTGCACAAAGTAGTCTTATCAGCTGGAAATGCAAAATAAAGATTAAACCATGGGTCAGCAGATGACACAATCTGCATTTTCCCCAAAAGCACATACCCTTCTGGGAAAGTAGGAGTTCATATTTCCAATAGCTGGGTTACCACCAGCCCCTGAAGGGTACATTTATTCAAGTAGTATAGGTGACACAGAAACCGAAGCCAAACAACAGGACACCCCTCCAAAAGGCAGCCTTAACTTAATTTCCTTTAAATTGATTTGTCACCCACTTCTCAGCCAACCTTTACACATCAAAACCTTTGGCACTTTTTATTAAGTGTTCTGTATGCCAATGGATAACTTCAACAAACTTCTTTTAAATCCCGATGCTGCTTTATTTGTCATCCTTCACTGCTGCTGTCTTTTGTGTAATCTTTGGACTAACATAGAAACCTGCACACAGTTTGTGAGAAGCCTATAAAAAGAAAGCAAGCATTGTATATATAGATGTTTAGCCAGCCTTGTATTTAAACAAACACATTTAGGCAAAATGCTTTAGAGTTAAGTTCTATTTTTCCAGCCCTCAAAGGAGAGCTACTCTGTCAGCAACACTAAGCAGACAGTAAAATATTCAATGAAACTGCTTTCAAATTCCCACAGGAGATCCCATAGGAAACTGCCCCACTTTGCATAAACTACTGTTTTTGG